ATAATTTTTTCGAAATCGGAGACATCAAAGGTGCCTGCCACGATTTTTAGTGCTGTGCCCAAAAAGTCTAAGCTTCTCGCCAACCTGTTGTAACGCGGAGAACAATTTTGTTATGAGTTCGATATCTATGTCGAAGAGTTTTCGCATATGAGACTGTGAAAACAAGTCTGACAAGTCTCATCCGCGCCTTACAAAATCATGCTGGCTCCACGCTAATAAATCGCCGTCTACAATTGGAATGTAATCGGAGTGGGAATAGTCAGTAATACGAGCATTATTAACTGAGAGAAATATAAGTACCACGGGTATAAGGGTATTTATCTCAATATGTCCTTGTGGACCACTCTCCAGTTAATTAAGACTGCGGACCACGACTGCCGCGACTTTTTGTTGATTAACTTTGTCATTTTGGGAAAATAGTAATTGGGAAAATAATAGTAATGACAATGACCTGGGTCACATTCTCTTGAGCGTTGTGAGAAAATCACGCAACTCGCTATTTTCGAAAATGTCCGACACGATGTTTTTACTGTGGCTAGTGGCCAGAAGGTCACAATGAAGTGCGCTTACTATATCTGGGTTAACCACTGCTTTTACTTCATTTAGCACTGGCTCTTTGTCACTGAACTATATTATATGGTGTGTCTTGTTGCCGAACAGAATGAAGTTGCGGTTGAAGGGAGAAACGGGCTTCTTCTAAAATTATTTGATTTCTGAAACATCTCAACGGCTTTTCCGTTGTCCCTACCGTATAGGTCAGGGACAGTTCACTGTGGATAGTGGCTGCATCAGAAGTTTCACACTGGTTTTCTAACACGTTGACGTTTTGTAACGACAAGGCACCAGCGACATGATTTTCCTTCCTTGTAGAAAATCTTAGCATTGAACTTATCAACACAAGCTTTCCAACGATTAATTTTTGCGTTGGCGTTCTTTTCTGAGACAACAAATGTCAAGGGTTGATGGTCAGTGTAAATGTTTATATTTTTTCTTTAATGACGAAGCTATGCTAAGGCCCAAACGATAGCTAACAGTTCTCTCTTATTGGTTGCGTATTTCGTTTCACTGTCCTTCAATGTTCCAGATATCATGGTAACAGGGAAATTATTTTGAGAAAGTCGGTCGTTAGATCGAGCGGTTATGTTTCGAATGTATGACGTTGGGGTTCATTGAATTCTATGAGAATTCGTTTAGATCGGTGTTTACAAACTAGCCCGTTTTTTACCTTGAGGATACTTGAGAGCGGCTTTGCAATGGAAGCGAAGTCGAAGAATTCAACGATAGTCCAAAAACCTCGACTTTTCTTGAGCCAATCTCTTGTTTGCACCGATTTGGCTATTTAAGACCCAGTCGAAGTGTTCGATGTCATCTTTCTCGAAAATAATTACATCGTCGAAGTAGACATGGCATGCCTTGCGGATTTGTTCGCGCAGAACGTCATCAATAGCGCTCCTTCGTTTTTGAGTCCAAATGGAATTCGACAAAACTCATACTTTCCTCCGTTAACGGAAAATGAGGTCTTCTCTCTATGGCATTCTGCTAGCAGATGATGATAGCCGAATTTTATATCCAGCGTTGTGAAACATCTGGCTTTCCCTAGACTTTTTAAAATAATATAAATATCTGGCATCGGTTACTTCTCTTTAATAGTCCTTGCTTTTAGTTTACAAAAGTCTATAACCATCCGCAAAGAATATGCTTAACATTATTAACTTTGGTAAAGCGTACATTTTTGCATCTTCGGTATTGAATCTTTTCTGATACATTCCCAAATTTGATTTCAATGACATTTAAGCTAACATAGGCGTCTATCTGCGTTAGCAGATCTAGCTAGTGAGTTTAACAAGAAAAATGGGCTGCTTATGCTAAATGCTTTTAACAAGCATTTGTGTGATATTATTTGATCCAGAAATGCAATGGAATCTACGGAGACTAAGTTTATATCATTTTTGGACGCACCCGCAACGATTAGGAATTTCAAGGTTACTCCCGCTACATTTCGCTGCACGAACAGCAGCAGGGACCCTTCACCGAAAAATTAATATCATCACTTATTCTTGAGCAACTTGGTTTACCCTTTGCCTCCTTTGCCCGGAGACCCGCTCTGAAGTATTTGCTCTTTTTCGTGAACGCACATTTAAGTTCTGCATCCCCGAACATTGTTTTTGCTGATGGACAGCCCACTGCCTGAACCTTGAAACGGAAACGTCTACATCCATTAGCACCGAGGATTTTGTTTCACGTTTCTTGTGTCTTTAGAATTGCTCGGCTTGGCGCTGATCGCCGTGTTGGATATTGAAGGAACGGCGCTTACCCTGTCCGTAGTGGACCCTGTTCTTTTGTTCATACTGTCTAGACTGATGTTGGTTCCTACAACGCTGCTCAGATTTATTAGCCTTCTCCTCAAGGCTTCTGTCATAATTCTCTGCGAAGTGGTATATGTCATGGATTGCTTCGATTTTCTGGGCTAATACCAAGGCGGACGGCAAATCGAGGGGATGCGCCGCAAACAGCACATCTGCCAGGTTTTTCCTAAGTCCCATAACTGGGCTAAACATAAAAAAAGTGAAGTTAAGTGACCGAACTGGATTTTCTGCACACCAACCATGAAATCATAAAAAACACTGGCTCGCGTCAAACGCACACCAATAGCAAAGTTTTTTGTTTTGCGAGGAAAGAAATGCAACCGAAATTTGGAAAAAATTTATATTATTTGTGCCCATTGTTGCTTGTGCGGATACATACACACACTAACATTTAAACGATCTATAGACATTATAGAGAGAATTGAGAGCAATGAGCCAAAGCCGCTTCCTGAAGTGGGAGAGAAATAAAAACATCGATGCCGTTCTATCACACAAAGCATATGGCTTTCTTACATTCTTGTTCTCTGAGCAAGCGAGCGAGTCTTTGACCCGAACAAAAACGAAGTCGACGGGTGATCAGAACTGAAGGAAATCAATGGCTACCAACATTTGTACTAGCTGTCCCATCTGGATGTTGTACAATCATTTCTAATAAATATTACATTTCAGAAATATTTCCAACTAGCTTAGTTTTCACCCGTAAAAAATTTAATTTGCCCGTACTATCTTGACTGCAACTTCTATTTCAAAATATATACATGATCCACCGTATAAAGAATTTGGTTGGAATCAACGGTTTCCGCCCATGCAAGTCTTGTGGGTAAAATCTTGAAGCCGAAAAACAAACTTTCGTTTATTAAACCTTTGACCTGCATTATCCATCCGAGAGCGGTTAATACCGCGGAAAGCGAATCAAATAAATTGTAAAAAGATCTCTGAAAATGAGCATACAGCCGATCCGATGGTAAGCAAAAAAAGTTGCATGCCACAGTTTCCGCTAAATTTTCACAGTTGCGTAGGATGTCCAAAATTGCTGAGATACCTATTCATTTAGTTTTTATGTAGTATTTTCAAATTAAGTTTGAGGCCGACGAGACGTATTTATCTTCCCAAGGGGGATTTTTCGAAAATTGTGATACACCTATCAAATGAATTTTTACAAAGGCACCAAATCTGTGCCTCTCATTTCCACTGAGGGATGAAATTACCAAAAAGTGTAAGATACCCCTCAAATAATTTTGAGCAAAGATCTTTGAAAATGAGTTTGTGGCCGATCGAAAAAGTTTTATGCAAACATTTTTCGGGAATTTGCTACACTTGCGCACATTTCATTACATAAGGTAAATACTTTGTGCTTTCGTGATTTACTTGTGTAAATGGGTGTAAATACCATAAAAATATGTTTTTTTTATTATTTTGGGGGGTATGGGGGAACGTATCTAAGAAGTTACATTTTATCGATCTGTGTATACTTTACGAGAGTCTTCATATCAAATTTTGTGCCTCTACCTCTGCTATGTGCTCAAAACGGGATTTCGATATCGATTTAATCAATTGCTTGGAAACGAGGAAGTTTTCGATGATTTGAAGCAAATTTCGTACGGGTGCAAAACGAGAAGCTCCGTTCAAAATTATAATCTAGATCGACGCGTTTATACATACGATGGGACGGAAGGACGTACGGACGAACATCCCTAGATCGACTCGCGTTTTGAAAACTTAGCAAGAATATATATACTTTATGGGGCCGCAGTAACTATATTCGGCCTTTTACAGACAGTTGCACAAAAGCATTATACCCCATAAATCTATTTTCAAGGGTTCAGGGTATTAAAAGGTTTTCGGGCTTTGCAAATCTCATGAAAATACCCCATAGAAGGGTATACAAATATATTAATAAGTACACGTATATCTTTACTTTACACATGCGCTCCACACTACCCTTCGTTATATAAATAAACATACATATGATGTAATTGTACTCTTGGTATGCATGTAAAATATATGCATGACAACGCCCCAAATTTAATACGATGTCAGTGCTTAAGAGCTTAAGGTTTGACCACTAACCATAGATAAGTCAAACAGCAAAATTATCGAAACACGATAAATTGATGATGCGAGTGAACCCCATGGGTGCTTGCGATCATTCTGTTATGCCACGACAAACGTCGTGATCTACTTTTGCGCATATCCACACAAAACAAACATATGCATGTTTGTAGATCTCGGGGTTTTTTGAGAACCTATGCAGGGAGAATGAGATGCAAACAAGAGCGCGAACCAATGAGTGAACGCGAAGGACAATCTGCACATGCATACACACATATGTCTTTGGGCTGCAAGGATTTAAAACTAACATACATATATTAAGAAAAATCATCACCGCAGCGTCGTTGCGTTCGGCTTTCGAGGACGCCGTTCGGCTGCCACTCTCAGCAGTCTTACTCTCTTTGGGCACAACAAAATGGTCGCAAGCACCCGTGGGGTTCAATCGCATCAATTTTTCGTGTTTCGATTATTTTGCTCTTTGACGTATCTATGTATTGTATGGTTAGTGCTTTGACGCTAGGATAATAAACAAAATTTATCAAAAACGTAAATGTTGTGATGTTATTGACGTGTTTTACATACCTGTCGAATATGTTGCCGATTTTGGTAGATTAACTACGTCTCGTCGAAACGTCGATAGATTCTGTGTAAACCTAAGAATTGTATAGAAAATAATGATTAAAACTTGCGAACTTAATATACCGTGTTAGGCGATATTTCAGCAGCTGTAAGTTTTTATTTGAAAACCGCCATGTGTACATAAAGAGGTGTACTTCTGTAAGTGTAAGAACTTTCGTGGCCATATGGACGAAGGATCGAACAGAAAAGTGAACATTTCGAAATGTACACTGTTAAATAAAGTTCCGCTCAGTCTTCGACCATCTCTAGCATCGATCAGACATCTTGTCCTCCAGTTAAATGTGTTTTTTATCTATTATGGAATTGTTTCGTGTCTTATCACTTTTAGTTTGCCTTCCTTTGTGCAACATGATTTCCACCTAGAAAAACCTCTAAAATCCCTAGTCGCCAAATCCATCTTGAAGAAACGATAACAGCCCTCAAAACGTGAAATGAAATTCACTGAACTAACACCAACTACAGCAGAAAATCCAGAATTTATCATTATCGCCATTTATAATTGTACAAAAATATCAGAAAGAAAATTTTTAACCAATTCATAAACTAACCTCAACTTTACTTTAAATTAATAAGTGACCTCTAATTCTTTTTCAGCTCTTATTTACCGCAAATATTGTCCCTTTATATTTTCTAAAAAATTGTCTCTCATTATAAAAATGAAACACAAACTGGTATTCCAACAATTACCTAAACTACTAGTAGATAGCAATAATAAATATAGGAATTTAATAAAATATTATATTCCTGTCTATTTACGCAATATATACATGAAAGTGATTATCTCGAAGGTTACGTTACCTAAACGCAATCTAGCACTGAGAAAACTCTTTAAATATTAATTTTTAATATTAAATTAAGTCGACTGCAAAATATTTATGTCAGAGTGTAAAAAATTGTTCTTCTACAACCGACATAAATTTCTTTGCAGACAGTATTTCAACAGTTATCAGAGCGTCCGATATGTGTGAATCCTTCAAACGATTATATTATATTATATTATATTGGTGGAAGAACAATTATATTGTGTACCCAAGACCTTCAAGCACAAACGGAAAAGATCATTCTAGCACAAACTTCAACAACCAGAATCTCATGATCAATGATTTTTGTTTGCTATCCACCGAGCCCGTTTCACAAATAATAAGCAAACCTAAAAATAAGTGCCCCATTTTAAAAATAAGGGTTCAGTTAAAAAAAAATGTTTTTGTAAGTAATTTTCTGTTATTAGCAAGTAAATATCAAGTTACATTCTTATTGAACCTATGTATGTAATTACAATTTCTCTCAGAGAGAGTTTGTTATTAGAGACTGCTTAAATTATCTCTTTTTATGTGTATTCATTATTAATTAATTTACTTGTGCATCGCACACGCACAAATTTATGTTATTGCTTATCGACCCAAACAAGAATATTTTACAATTACTTGATCTATTGTTCTGCAGTTTTTGCTTGCTTTGCGCACTCGAATTCTATTTATTTTTGGTTTGCCCTCCGTAGTCATGGTGTGCCGTAAAACATTGCACATTCAAGCAAGCTGACCATTCTACATTGCGCCATTATGTTAATTGCCTTGAAAACTTGTATAAAGTCTATCAAAGAAAGAATTAAATGGTTTCCGGCCATGTTAGTCCTGTGGTGAGAAACGTAAATTAAACATTTGACCCCTACCTTTACCAAGAGCGGTAACTTTTGCGAAAAACATATTAAGTACATTTGAGTACATGAGTACATTATAAAATGAGTTTGAAGCTGATCCGATGGTAAACCAAAAATTGTGCGCCAAATTTCCACAGTTGCGGGTGAAATTTTCAATATCGCTAAGACACGAAATCATTCAGATTTAATGTAGTGCTTTGAAAAAAATTGGATTCCAATCGGACAAAATTTAAAATCTTACGACCTTTAACCCGAATTCAAGAATTGTTTCAAATGAATTTTCACATCAGTGAAAATGATTTTGAATGCGACAACCATTTTTTTTTCTTCCAATGTGCCGCATTTTTGGATTGAATTTCGAAAATCGCTGAAAAATGTTTTTATTAAGTTTTAATGAAGAGCTTTGAAAATAAGTTTGAAGCTGTTTGGACCAAAACTAAGGCTTGCCCCAAAAACTCTGACTCGAAACTCTGACAAACGTGTGAAAAAGTTTCAAATTAATTTTGATAGAGATTCTTAAAAATTAATTTGAACGCGAAACATTACCCATCAAACTCTTGGCCCCCATTTTCACTAAGGAAGGACGGATTTTTAGAAAAGCGGGAAACACCCCTCGAAAGAATTTGAACAAAGATCTTTGAAGTCAACCAGTTTTGTATACAAGGTTAAAATGTGCAAGCATTACTCGGAATTATTGCGAAAAGATCGCCGAAATTGCCAAAAAGGGCTGCGGCGGCTTGCGCTGCCCAGTATATATGGACAATCAAATTGATTTCTCCAAAAAGTAAATTTTGTGAGAAACCTCTCGAGTTACTTTGACTCTATCCATAAGTTGCAAATTAAAAATTTTCATCTCCACCTAATCGACGGTCAGTCTCAATTTTTTACTTAGCCTTCTAAATCTGCACAAACATCCTCGCCGCTTTTGGACGTGCTATGAAACATCCCCAATGTAGCCGTTATCGCCTTCTCCAAGGGATTGTCAAAATATCACCCCTATGGTGTGAGAGATGCATATAGACCCTGTTTTGGAACCTGCCACGATCAACGAAACTGGAGCACCGTTAGTTTCTGGCTGCTGAGATAGATCCGCGCGCAATCTAGCCCATAATGCAAGCAGGAATCTTCATCCCCAACAACTCCTGCGCCGTTTCTTCTTGCACATCGTTAGCAAATCTTTGTACTCCGACTATTTAGCCAATGTTACGCTAACGGATCTATTTCAAAATTATATATCTCGATTCGTCATGAAATATCATCTCACAAAATAAATGATTATTATGATTCTCTCCCAATTTTTTGTGATCCTAAATGAAATGTAATTAAGATACTCTAATCGGTAGCCTTTTCAAGCATCCAATGCAGCTCGCTCTACGAGCACGTTTGCTTTAGAAGTATAAAAATTAATTTAACAAATAAAACGAGTTTCCTCAATTGGACTCGAACTCGTAACCAATCGAACTACTTGCCACCGACTCTATTCTACTCAACAAAAATTAATTTTTAATGCAATAATAGCGAGTTGAAACAGCAGCGCATTGCACACAATACAATACAAAAACAATTGCAAAGCTGGTAATATACACCCAACTCTGTTTTTACTCTATTTTGAAATAACACGGTTTGCAAATTAGAAAATTATATCTTTTTTATGTGCATTTTTCGTAATAGCAAGAATTAATAAAAAATAAATTAAAAAAACGTGGTGGAGAAAAACAATTTGAAAGACACTCAATCTCAATAGTTTCAACTGCCATTCAAATCAGCAGTTTTTATTGCGGACACTCACAAACTAACTAACGATTTGATGGAAGTTGATGATAAAGAAGACATCAATAATGACAGAGTTGAAGGTGAAGTTCAGATATTAACAGATAACTCAGTTCGTGATAACATTCGTTTTTCTCTTTGAAGCGAACAGACGATTTTTTATTTGTGCGCTCTGTTCGGATTTTAATTTTAATAAAACACCGGCATTTTAACATCTCTATTTAAAAGTATTTATTAAATCTGTTTGCCTTCTCGCTTTATTTTTGCTTTGTCATAAGTGCCGTGACCATAGCGCAGAATATGCATCGTCTGCCTATTCTGCCGAATACCATTCCTTTGTCTTACGATTTATATATGCTTAATGTATGTATATGCTTTGAGTGTATGCATATATACATGCTCCCGCTCTGCCGCTGTTCTCAGCGACTGAGACTTATATAAAAAACTCGAATGTTAGACTTAAGAACAAACATATAACTGAACGAGACATCAGTCGAAAAAATATCATCAACGTCTTAGGGCGTATACCAATAAACGATTAATTAAAGGAAAACAGTGGTTTGCCGTTTGTGTTTAAAAAAATGAACAGAAATTAAAATGATGAAATTGTTGTAAAAAAATAAAATTTTTTAAAAAAAATAATTAAAATAAATTAATAATAATGCATAATGAGATTCCGTCAAACAAAGATTGATTAATGATGTGAACGAAAATTGCAATATACATTGTGAAACATGTTTTATAAGTCGAAAGTGACAAGCAACAACATCAACAACAACTAACAAAATCTAAATCAACGACAACAACTGAGAAAACAATTGCAAATTTAACAATAAGAACAGAAGCAACTTAACAGATGACACGAACGTGTAAACCAAAGACAGTCTGTGCGATGACCAGCACCGGCACCGCCTGAGCCCATAGGTCCCGGACAGCAGCAGCAGATACCAAAAGTGTGAGAGGCAGTCCGCCCTTTGCACCAACGCAGGAAGTAAATGAGCAACGTTGGACTGGAAGAGGCTGCTCCTGTTGAGCAAAGGAATGCACCCAGCCTGCAAGAGACTTTAGAGGTGTACCCCAACGATGGACCACGCCCACTCACAATAGCTCAGTACCGGGCACGACAACAGAAGAAGGAAAAGCAGAAAACCAAAAGAAGCGGAAGAAGAATTAATCTGCTTCAAAAAAGAATACTCCTACAGGATCTTATCAAGACAGGGACAACGCCCTAGGAGAAAATGAACAAATAAAGAATCTCGAAATCATCGAGAAACAACTTCGTACTGGTGCGAAGCAACGCAATAAGGGCTGCAAACCTGCCAATGCCTTAATTGCCCTTAAATATAAACTCTAGTTCAAGCCGATGCGCGAAAGCGCTACTTGAAAAATACTAAAATCTGTTAGGCTTTTTACTAACACATACGGTTGGACTATTAATTGTATAAATAAAAATTGTCAGCCAACCGTATGACCTAACTAACACAACTTTTTTTCCTTTTCCTAAATCAGATTTAAATTGAAATTTACAATTATCGAACAGTTTTCAAAGACAAATTATTAAAAATAACAGAAACTAAAAAATTAAAA